AAGTCCCACAAGAGTAGAATGCTCTGTAGGGTTATAAGACATTTATGCAGTACATTCTATATTATGGATAGGATCTCTATAAATAGGAGAGGATGTCATTAGTAAAAAAACAAGCGCTAAGTGAGTGAGGAACCACCACGAATGAGCAACTCTCTAAGTGTACAATGGAGAGCTTTTAAATATTTAAAAATTGTAAAGAAGTTTTCAGAAGAGGTGAAAGTTTTGTAGAGTCGTTGGAACATTAATGATTAATGTAGTAAATTTTATAAGATAAATAAAGGAGAGTATGTCATTGATAAACAATAAGTTACAGGTGTTGAATCTGAGAAGATTCAAAAGTTACGATGAAGTAATAATAGAAATATTATATCTTGTCAACGAAGTTACATTAGACAGCTTGTAAATATTTGAATAGTATTTGTAGGCTTTGTAGAGTTGTATGTTATTTATATAGGAAATTATATAAAATTGATATAATATCTATTAATAAAAAAGATACTGTAAAGAAGTTTATAGAAGAATGGAGAGGTTCATATAATCATATAATAGCATGTAGTTTTATAAATGGCAAAAGTGCAAACAACCCCCCTGAACTATCACAAATCAGCAATTTACCTTCTTGGACTACAAAAATGAATAAGTCAGTACCACAACTATCCAAATCGTGCAATTAACCCCTGAAACGCAATTCCAGTCCACGTGACCTGTCATTTTCTCTCTCTCAGAGGTCAATTTATATATTTGTATTGCTATATATATATATATATATATATATAGCAATACTCTAATCTATTCCACCTTTGCTATATATAACAATACTCTAATCTGTTCCACTTTTGTCTTGGAAGACATGCCTAGATCCGACTTCTTTTCTATGTGGGATTTCACGGCGGAGCCATACGATCGACTTCACTGACATGTATTGCGACAACGACATGATCATTGCTTTGAAGCTTGGTGACCCAAGGGCCTGTTCACTGTTCTAGCCGAGTTCATCGTCGTCCCGGATCAGATCATCGATGCTCGGCCTGAACATTATCTCAATTGAATAACCTACGGGTTCTTGCTGTCAGCAAGAATTTCATCTCCAGCGAGGTTTTGGCGACCCTAGGTCAGCTTCGTGCTTTACGAACCCTCAATCTCAGTAACAATTTTTGCTTTACTGTAACAAACTCGCTCATGGCCGCCGTCAATTTTTGATTCTCCGTTTTTCATATTGCCTCTGAAATTGTAAATGGCAATTTTATATATTTATTTATTTATTTTGGTTGGATTTTAGAAGTTGAATTATATATATATATATATATATATATATATATATATATATATTTATTTATTTATTTATTTTGGTTGGATTTTAGAAGTTGAAGTTGAGTGCCTGTTTTAGACTACAACTTAAAAAAAAAAAAAGGTTTGATCTCCAAACATGAACTTTTGATTGGAAGTATTGTTTTAGTTAGATGTTATTTTCTTCTCATCCACTCAGGTTTAATTGCATATACACACACACACACACACACACACTACTATATTGATGAATGTATATAAATTACTTCAAAAAATTAACTTGACTAATTTCTAATTTCAAATTTCAAATTTCACAAAATCTAATTTCTATGCTAATTTTAACAGGTCTTAGAAAATGCCATTTTAATTGTGCTGTAATTAATTTTGATTAAATTGATATTACTTTGATAAATTGATTTGACAATTTCTTATTGAAGTTAATGTAAGCAATATACATATGACTTTCTAATTACAGCACTATTCAAATATCATTCAAGCCAACAATTAGCTTGCTAAAAAAAAAGAAAAGGAAAGGCCAACAATTAGCATGCAATTTTTAATATTTGAAAATTATTTTTAGAATAAAACAACACATGAATTAGCATGCAATTTTTATAAATTGTTATATATGTGTAGCCTCTGCCTTTTGGTAGTCTTTGTCAACCATTATTAATTTCATAAGTCAAATGAGTATTGTAAAATAAATACATATATATAATAATAATAATAATACAAATATATAAATTGACCTGAGAGAGAGCATAATGTCACGATCCAATTCCTAACGACGCCATGAGCATAAAAGATACGCATGCTGGTTGGCTAAGAACATTCATTGACTGGGAATGGTTCCAGGGAAGGGGTGTGCAGGACCACAGGATGGTACCTCTTCAGAGTTCAGGCAGGTCGACTCGGTTCAGTTCGAGGTGCTTATCGCTGGTCGTGGACTTGACTATGAAGAAGGGAGTTGGCCATCCCTGCACAAACTGGTCGGGAGCTGGAGCCGTTCCCCTGACGAGGTCACGGCAGGCCGAAACCAGTCAGCATGTATCCTTAGGAGGGCAGGTCGTGGTGGCTGACTAGGGCGCTTGCGCGAGCTGAAGCAACGCCTTGGTGCCGCACGGGCCGTGCCGCTGCGCCAAATCTCTAGGCCCGTGACAAATGGTATCAGAGCAGGACTTGGGAAAAAGCACAGAGGTGTGCCCCCTTTTCGATCCGGGGGTCTTGAGAATGAAGTGGGTGCACTAAAGCGTCGGTGGGCAATCAATGCTGTTGGAGGAGAGCTTTCATCTCCCCATGAAGACGCGTCCTTTGAAGCCGGAGGGCCGCGCGCACTAAAGTTCTTACAAGTTCAAGAGGCGTGCAAACCGTTGTGAAGGGCGGGTATCAAGTCAGCCGGAGGGCGCTTGTTTGCTCGGGGTGTCGCGGAGGCGGCATAACGTGGGGTTGCGTCCCGAAGAAGTGGGCGTCCCTTTAGCCCGAAACCCTATCATTGGGCAAGTGCAGCCAGGGGTTGTACAAGGAAGCGATGGTGGGCAGGCGAGCATACCACTTGGAGGAGAGAGACTTTGGAATGTTGGACGCAGCGGAGTCAGCGCTGCACTGCGACGATGGCGTCGCAGGATTTGGGTAGGGGAGAATGTCACGATCCGATTCTTAACGACGCCATGAGCATAGAAGATACGCATGCTGGTTGGCTAAGAACATTCATTGACTGGGAATGGTTCCAGGGAAGGGGCGTGCAAGACCACAGGATGGTACCTCTTCAAAGTTCAGGCAGGTCGACTCGGTTCAGTTCGAGGTGCTTGTCGCTAGTCGTGGACTTGACTATGAAGAAGGGAGTTGGCCATCCCTGCACAAACTGGTCGGGAGCTAGAGCCGTTCCCTTGACGAGGCCACGGCAGGCCGAAACCAGTCAGCATGTATCCTTAGGAGGGTAGGTCGTGGTGGCTAACCAGGGCGCTTGCGCGAGCTGAAGCAACGCCTTGGTGCCGCACGGGCCGTGCCGCTGCGCCAAATCTCTAGGCCCGTGACAATAAGGACGAAATGGGTTCGTTTATAGGTGAGGACAATTTTGGAATTAAAAGAAAATGACAGGTCGCGTGGGCCGGAAAGTGGCCGGAATTGCGTTTTAGGGGTTAATTTGTACGATTTGGATAGTTGTAGTACTGACTTGTTTATTTTTGTAATTCAAATAATAAATTGTCAATGATAGTTCAATGGGTTGTTTGCACTTTACCCTTTATAAATTAATCAACTTTAACTCTACTATAACTTTTTGTTTTTTTCTCTGAACAGAACTCTGCATTCCAATGAAACAGAGGACAAGTCCTCCATAATTACATCAGAAAGCCATTGAGGCCAAATCTGCCATTGCAGATCATTACACTTTTGACTTGAAGCATTTTTACTCACTCTATGAGCAACCTTATTACAGGATATTGGAGCCTAACGAAAAACCAATGTCAGGTTCGCTTTTAACATCTTTTGAATATCCTCCAACACAGTCATGGAAAGAGAGTTGACAGGAGAAAAATTAACAAAAGTGAGACAATCAGTTTCCACATCCATCATAAAATAACCCCACTGACTTTATAGAACCAAGCCCTCCCTTCGGCACTACCAACATTCTGGATAAAAATGGAGGCCACTTTAACAGGGAAACCTTGTGATCACGAATAACAAAACCCCCACTGCAACTCCGAGTTGAGCTATTTCAACTTGGGTGAGTTAGTATTGACTTTCACAATTTAATACAGAGTATCATTTTGCTAAGAACTCTACAATTTCAATTGAGTGACTTAGTATCGGTTTTCACGATGAATTCACATAGGAGAAAGTTTTAATATCATTTTGTTAAGAGCTGTGTTATTTAAACATGAGTGATTCAGTAGTTCCGGCATTCACAAAAAATTTACATTGGAAAAAGTTCGTCCCATTTGACTACTTACCATCAAACAAATTCTTTTGTCATTCGGTTAGGTAATTTGATTTATATTGAAATAAAAAAAATATTAACATTGTTAGTATTTTCAAAATATTTTGAAATCGTTATTAAAAAAATATTTAGAACTCTTAACTTAATTTTTCCATGACTGAAGCACAACTTGCTAAAGCCATCAAAATTTGACGTAATTAACTCAAATATAATCAAAGCTTATAAAATGACATATATTGTAACATAGGAGATCATTTTGGTGCAAAAAAATAAAAAATAAAAAATAAATAAAAATGGAGATCATTTGGACTCAGATTTAAATTAAGCATTTTTATACTTTCAGGTGTGAGCTTTGTAGACAAGTTCAGATGGACCCTATTCTTGTGTTATATATATATATTTTTAATGATATGATCAGCATTATTCAAAAATTTCAAAGGAAAATTGTGCAATAAGATAGATTTTTGAAGGGCATTTAAAAAGCAATTTTTTTTTTTTGTTTGAAAGGTGCATTTCAAAAAACACATTGTTGTAAAAAATTTACACAAAATCAAAGTTGCATTTGGCATTTTGTGCAAAATTACCAATCTATCCAAATTAATTCCTACAAAATCAAAATGGTTGGTGAAAAAAGAATTCCCCAATCTAACAAACAGTCTCGCAACTAATTGAATTTGCAATATTAGTGTGACACGTCATCAGTTGCAGGAGACTGTTGTACACTAGATAACAGAGTACCATTTCCCATATAAAAAATGAACCGAGCGCTTGAGAAGAAAAATAGATGGACAGAACTACCTCACCCTTTTCCTCCAAGAATCCATTAATTGCAGAAAAATTGCACTGTTCTTTTATAGAAATGGGAAATGGTATCTCACTTCTTATAGGGGTCTCTTTATTACTCACTCTCTGACCCAAATCTATCTCTAAAAATCAAATCTTGTGTTGTTATATGTAAGTCCTCGAGCCTTCTTCAACTTTTCGATTTGGAAATTTCTTTTATTTTTTATTAATCACTTGGTAGTTTTTAGTTTCTCGAGCCAAGTTTGGGACTTTGAGATTACAGATCTAAGCATAAATCCAATTTCTTGACCAGATATTTTCAGATACCTTTATTTGATCGGTTTGTACTTTGTATCTGTTGTTGTTGTGGTTGTTTTTTTGTTGCTTGAAGAGTTTGACTCTGTGCTTCCATTTTTCCTTGCAGAGTTTCGAAGTTCAAACTACTAAATTATATATTAGATGTTCTAATGGTCCACCCATATCTTAAATTTTTGAAAATTTGTAGTTTCAACTGTGATCTAAGTTTGTGGGTTCTGTTTGTATGAACTACTAATTTCTTTAATTTATAAATTAGGGTTTTGTTTTCTCTATTTTAGTTTCTCCACCTCTTTGTTTCCCTTCTTCCTTCAAAATCTGTAAACTTTGCTGGTGGGTTTTGTGGGTTTTCTTGGTATGAGCTACTGCTAATATAATTCAATCAAATTTAGGGTTTTGTCTTCAGATTTTTTTTTTTTTTTTGGGGTTAATTTAAGCTTCTTGTGTCTTCCTTTGTTTGAAAATAAAATATTGTCTGGTGGGTGCTTGTCATAATGGATTATGGTCGAGAAGCCGGGTTTTCCAGTGGAAATGTTGTTCAGGTGATCACTGGGAACCATGGAAATGATGTTGCTGAGAATTGGATGTCTGGGTCTATGGACCAGGGGGTTTGGGCAACTGAGGATGATTATGGGGTTTGGAATAGAGAGACATCTGTTGACACCACTTCGAATTCGAATTACGACGGAAGGCAATCTCAAACTCGGTCAGGGAGTGAGCCGCCTAATAAGAAATCGAGAAACTCCCAATCAGGCGATTTTCCATCTTCTAATCGATCAAAGGCAATCGGAAAGATGTTCTTTAAAACCAAACTATGCTGTAAATTCCGAGCTGGGACTTGCCCGTATGTAACTAACTGCAATTTTGCACATAGTGTTGAAGAACTTCGAAGACCGCCACCAAATTGGCAAGAAATTGTGGCTGCTCACGAGGAAGATCGGGGAGTGACATCAGAGCCAAGGGAGGAATTTCAGATTCCAGCACTCAGCTCTGCTGGTTTTTCTGGGGATAGTCAGAGGTCTTACAAAGGGCGACATTGCAAGAAGTTTTATACTGAGGAGGGCTGCCCTTATGGAGATAATTGCACTTTTCTTCATGATGAGCAGTCAAAGGCTCGAGAAAGTGTCGCAATAAGTTTGGGTCCTGGGACGGGTGGTGGATATGGGGGTGGAAGTGGGAGTGGGGGTGGGAGTGGGGGTGGTGGGAGTGGGGGCGGGGGTGGATCGACCCTTAAGCCTTCAAATTGGAAAACAAGGATCTGTAATAAGTGGGAGCTAACAGGGTATTGCCCGTTTGGAAACAAGTGTCACTTTGCTCATGGGGTTGGAGGTATGGTTTAATCCAACATTCACATGCCATATTTCATTGAAAAATGATTTGAAATCAAGAAAGAAAAAGTTTATGTTCCATTTATAGTGAATTTATTCTGTTCATAATGACATTGGTTTCCTTAACTGAGATGTATCTAGTTTTGTAACTTGGCCGTCCATAAGTTCCATCATAATGGTTTAGGTCAGGCTTCTATCATGTTGAATGTTACAGTATGCTGATTACAATGACATGGACACATGACGTTAATTTTATCTTGAAAACTGTTCAATATAGACACTTATACCTATCAATTGATAATGACCTAGGCAAGCCTGGCCTGTTTATGTTTTTCCACAATTATTATTATTATTATTTTGATAGCTGATGACCGGAAGTTTCTCATCTTTAATTGCTCTGAATGTGCTGAAGTTTTGTGTAAAGTCCATTACTTTAATTTGAGGAAATGTACAAGACAATATTTTTTTATACTTGATTAATGACAATGATGTATTGGTTTTAACTAGTAGCATCCACACACACACACACACATGTGAATACAACTTATACTGTTGTCCGTCTTTAATTTCCATATATAATTTTGCTTCTCGTTAATCGTGATTCTTTTATATGTGGCTGATGCGACATAAAAACACACACAAAAGTTTACAATACATATCATATACTCAGATACTGACGTGCTTTGCATTTAGAATTAGGAGAATGGCCTAATCTACCTTCTATATTTCTGTTGAAGTTTTGAATTCATGTCCAAGCTCACTAATCGTGTAAGATAAAATTTAGGGTAAATTACTTTGACACCTCATGAGGTTTGACAAAATCACCGTCAGATATATTTTTATATATATATATTTAAAAATCACTGTGTGAGAAAATGTTTGGTTACTGTGAAAGTACGAATAAAAACACTCTTATTATACCTTATTGCTGATGCTAGCGACAAAACAAAGAATGACAATTGACCATCTATGATTTGATGGTCCTCTTCCTAGAGCTGCTGCAACAAGCACCACCAGTTCCACCATAGTCACAGTCATAACCACCACCGCCGCCCCTCATGAGGTTTGATGAAATCACCATCAGATATATGTGTGTGTGTGTGTGTGTATTTTAAAAATCACTGTGAGAAAATGTTTGGTTACTGGGAAAGTACGAAAAAAACACTCTTATTATACCTTATTGCTGATGTTAGCGACAAAACAAGGAATGAAAATTTACAATCTATGATTTGATGGTACTCTTCCTAGAGCTGCTGCAACAAGCCCCACCAGTTCCACCATAGTCACAGTCATAACCACCACCACCACATCACCACCCTCCACTTTCCCACCACCACCGGTTCGTCCTCTGACACCTCACATCTCTGCTCCCTCTCCTCCGCCACTGTCTCCCTCACCTCTCCCTCATCGGTGGCGCCAACTCCCTCACCCGCCACCCCTCCTCCCTCTGCTTCACCTCCTCTAACCTCTGCTTCATACTTTAGTACAAAGCATCTCAAATGGACCGCACTATCAGCATCATCAAAATCTCCATCTGTAAGTGAAAGATCACAAAATATAGGATGCCTCAGCTGCATACATCACTGCACTTCCACTTGACACCTATATCGTAATGATAAACGGCTCGTCTCGCCGTGACCTTCTCTTGAATTCTCAAAACTTCTGTCGCTCCATCCCCGCAGGGGCAGAGAACCTGTCACTGTCCCGGCTGTGCTACCGGAGGCTCTGGGGAAGTCGGAATAGGAGAGCACTCATCTTGGGGTGGGCTTACTACTACTCTCTCTCTCCACCTGTTCACCAAAACTTTGTCCATTGTCGAGAGAAATAGTGCCCACAGCATTTAGTACAAATGATCTTCCTCAATCCCTTAATTCCTTTCATTCACTAAAAACTCTTTAATTTTATCTCAAAATGGGTTACTCTCTCTAAATAGGTCAATCTAAATTTGAGTTGCAATGGTTAATTTAGTCTCACTGATATTGCCACTTAAAGTATCGAGGAAGAGAGAGAGAGAGACCCGGGTAATCAAAAACCGATTTCTTCTCTCGCACTTTCTCTCTTTAAAACTGAATACAGTAAATTCATAAAAACCCATTTGAAGACCCAGTCACCACTGACTGTTCTCATCTTCACCCTTGATTTTTCAAATGAATTTGGTAGAAGTATTTGTTGCAAAATATATATAAATATGTAAATCGAATAAAGACACAACTATATAAGTTGTATACTTTATGTATATATACTGGGATCTATATATAGTGTACAATACATAAGTATACAATTAACAGTTCAGTTTGCATGAATCAATTGGCATGAAGGTAAGGTTGCTTGCGTGCGCACATACACACACAGAGATAGAGAGAAGTAATTATTTATATTGATATTTTATTGGAGAGAATGAATTATTTTTCTATATTTTATTCTAATTCATATATTTATATCACACTGTTACATATTTTTGTCAATGCATTTCGGTTTAAATGGTCATTTTAATGAATTGTAAGGTCACTTTTGCCATTTTGTTTCACATAGGGCATTCTCAGTTACTCCTTTGACTGACTTAACAGTTTGACAGACGGCAGGAATGGGCAGGATAATTTCATACAAACCTCAAGGGAGGTTGACCATAATTTTTTCAAAACTTTAATGTGAGGGTGATTTTGGAAAACCTCAGGGGCTCTCAGAGTAATTTACCCTAAAATTTAACAATTATCGGTACATATGAACGATATGAATGGTCAGAATAATTTCATACAAACCTCAAGGGAGGTTGACCATAATTTTTTCAAAACTTTAATGTGATGGTGATTTTGGAAAACCTCAGGGGCTCTCAGAGTAATTTACCATAAAATTTAACAATTATCAATACCTTTGAACGATATGAGGGATCTACTGCTTCATCTTGTGTGAGAAATTTTGCTAGGTAGGCAACTCTACTTGGACTACCAACCCCTTAGGTTACAGGAAAAAATATAAAAAATGAAAGTATAGTAGGTTTTTCTGCGAGTGTGTCTGTATGTGTGTGTGGGTATTTTTGTGTGTGTGTGTGTGTTTTTTTTGGTAAGTATAGGTATTTGTGTATGTTATGGAGGCATGTGGTTCATAATTTTAATTTTGTACCTTGAAGCAAGATGCTACTGAAAACTTCCAGGCTTTAGCATGCTCATGAAGTATTTGAATTCTGTCTCAAGGAGTAAAAACAACTATACCCAATATAAGGCATGTACCATACTAAAGTAAACGGGGACGGTTGATTTTATATAGGTTAGTAATTTGTTACGTATTAGCTAAATAAAAATTTGAACATGAGTAAGTATTTTACTTTTTTTTGTTAGTATATGTAAAATATGCTATTTGTTTATTTTTTTATAAGACACTTGGGTGCATATCGTGTCAGGTTTTACACAAGTAAAACATTAGCATTAAATTATAAGACTTCCATTCTATTTTTTAATGGGATTTCAGGCTGTTGCACCAGCGAAAAGGTATTTGCCTGATGGATGGTTTGAGTTATGTTATTTCTATGACACTAACGAGATGAATCGTTCGAGTAATGTTGTTTGTATGCTAACGAGTTAGTTGTGTGTTCAAACTTGTTCGCACATTTGATTAGACCAATAGTTATTTATTTATTTGTTGTGATAGCATCGTCTTGATTTTACTAGTCAACAATATTGAAATTTAACACTTATGTCACAGAACTGCACCGTTATGGTGGAGGGCTTATGGAGACTGAAGCTAAAGATTCTTCTTCTGCTCCTCCAGACACGAAGCAGGGGGTAGCGCCATCGAAAACTCCAGCTGATATTGTAGTTGCGTCTGTCACTTCAGTTCCTCATTCCGATGGTTATCATATTGGAGTTCCATCACAGAGGTTGTCCAACGTAATCCAGAGGACAGGACAGAGACCCCATCAAAAGTGGAAGGGTCCAGACAAAATTAGTAGAATATATGGTGACTGGATTGATGACATTGAGTAGGATCTGCAATCTCTTGCCTGTATGTTGAAAAAGATTAGCTAGGACTTAACTATCTTCCTGTGAAAGAGTTTTGACCGCAAGTCGGCAAACAGAATGGTTTGACTTTTTGGGAGATTGTGCAAATCTAGCTTCATCTTTTCAATCAAGAGTAGTTTTTGTTCTTCTTTTCTTTGGAAGTTTTGGACGATGCTAGCTTTGTAGAGTCTCTAGAACAAGTACGAATTTTCAAGCTCCTCATTTTCAGGTTTGGAAATTTTTGTAGCTTCAGTTACTTCTGTGATATTTTTCTTATCAATTTTATAAATTAGATTACCTTTTTTAATCAAATGGATGCGCATTATGAGATATATCATCACTTTTGCCTCTCGTCTGGCCTCCTATTTTTTTTTTTTTTTTTTTTTTTAAGTATCATGTATTTATTAAATTATTTGTCAACCTTATTATTGCTTTAATTCATTCTGGCGCGGTCTCTTTTTCTCTCTCATTGAACAATCTCTCATTTGTCAAGCCACTGAATTGCATATGTAACTTGTAGGTATGGAATGTTCACACATCTCATGCGGAAAATTTTGCACTCCGTGAGATACAGGGGTTCGTCTCTGTTGTGTGGAATGAATGGAACTTCATTAGTAGAATCAAGTCTTCATTAGGTTGATAGATAAAGCTTGGTTGACGATCTTATGGAAATAATTTGTATTTGCAACTTCTGGATGATGAAATGGGGCGTTTTTTCGAACCATTCCGCTTTGGTTAGCCGAGTGATATTCTTCCTCTCCATTTTAGCATTGCCAATCCCTTTGAGAAATATAGCATTTATTCTCTAAATGTCCTGTATTTAGAGCTGTTTTTGGGTCATACCACCAGTCCTCGTTCAGGGTTGCTCTGGACCTTGAGCAGAAATTCCTATACATGGGCAGCAATGAGTCAATGACCCCTCTGTCTCTTCTCTTCCAATTGCTGGAAAGCTTTCATTCTGGCATCTTTCCTTTCCCTTCCTCTTTCCTTCCTTCAGCCTTCCCTCCTTCCAATAGGGTCATTGGTATATCATGTGTGGTAGGAGGGAAGAGAGATCAATGGGACAGAATGTGCTTAACTAATGACATAATGCAGTATTTTTCAAATAAAAAGCTTGGTGATTTATCCTTGAAATACTGCCAAATGTTGCCATTGATCACCTTCTTTTTAGGTTCTATGTGGACAAGCTCACAGCTTGCCAATCTAATTTGGAGTTTGGGCCCTAAAAATGGCAAATTAGTTAAAATATAATTGATTTTTTTTTTTAATAATAATAATAGCATTCCTTTTAGTTCTTATGATACATTAATCTGACATGTGGAGTCACATTATCTTTTGAAGTGTTTTATCTTTGTAAGAAAGTCCCCCTTCCTTCTCACAATGACTCGCTCAATGACTCTGATTCTGACCATAAAAATGAAACAAACTGCAAATAACCATACCATACCAAAACACCCCATCTTTTCTGCTCACAAACACAAATCATAGCTAACCAAAACACCATTTTTTTAGCTCACAAACACACATGCTTGCCCTCCTTGTTTCTGTCATCCAAATGCCAAATACCCAATAACCCAAAACCAAAAATTTCTTTGATTCATCGGTGTTTCTTCATCCATAAAAAGTATGGCCAAGGCTCGACACGACCATCTCCGGCTAACCGACTAATCTCCGGCCTTTTTTTCCGAGCGATGTCGGACTCACCACAGGACGGGTACTCCCTATTCCCAGTGATCATATTCCTCACAGTCATTCTGGTTGCATTCTTCTTTGTGGGATTCTTCTCTATATACTTCTGCAGGTACATAATAGACCATTTACTCCGCGCGTGGCACCTCCATCATGACCCCACCGGCACTCAGGTGGGTCCCGCGTGCGCCGGTGGCCGCCACGGCCTCGACCCTTCAATCATAAAGACTTTTCCAACATTCACATATTCAAGTGTCAAAGATTTCAGGAAGGAAAAATATGGACTAGAATGTGCCATATGCTTGTTGGAGTTTGAAGATGACAGCATCCTTCGCCTTTTAACACTTTGTTGCCATGTATTCCATCAAGAGTGCATTGATCTTTGGCTCGAGTCCCACGACACTTGTCCGGTGTGTCGGAGGAGCCTTGACACGCCGGTGAAATCGCCAGATAAGTCCCCGGCAAGGCCTTCTCATTATGCATCACCTGAAATGGATCATAAAAATGAGTCAGGAGAACATAGTTTTAGCATTACCATTAAGGATGACAATGCAGGTGAGACAGAAGGGAGCAGACAGGGACATGATCAAGCGGCTCAGGCCACGGATGAACAAATCGAAGAACACGATAAGGTAGGAAAGTTTTCGAGGTCACACTCAACCGGGCATTCGATTATTAGGCCTAGGACAGAGGAGGATAGATATACATTGAGATTGCCAGAACATGTGATGACAAAACTTGTAAGGGGACACAACTGGACCAAGAGTTGCACCACATTTGGAGAATACAAAAGCAGAACATCCTCCGGCCACGGCGGCTTTGGCGAGCTAGGGTTTTCCGGCCAAGACATGGACAAAGTATAAGCCATTCTGTGTTTTCCATTGTTTTTGATTGTTTTTGCTTCACAAGGGTGGCTAGCATAATAGATATTGCTCTCATTTTCCAATCTTGTATCTCATGCTGTCATGGACAATACAATTTCTAAGAGATTTTAATCTGTAGTTAGAGTAGTTTTTGTTTTGTTTTTGGAAATGGATATTATTTATTATTTAGTCTGTGTAATTTATGTACATCCAATTATAATTATTAGGGTGAATTGCAAAAAATTTCCCTTGATTATTACCTAAAAAATCCCCTTATGAATATTTTTGGTAAAAAATCCCCCTCATTTATCTCAAGGGGGTGTTTTTAACTATATCCGTTTAAGGAATTTTTTGAAGCAAATTTTTGGACGAAATAAATGTTTAAAAATAAATAAGGAAAATTTTAATTTTTATAAAATTAAATAAGGAATAAGAAAATGTTTAATTTTTATGTCATTTTCTCATTTTCTCGATCATCTTGCACTTTTGAGATTTTAAATTTATTTTATTCTAAATTTGTTTTTCCTTTTCTTTATGTATTTGTAAAGAGAGGCAAAACAATTTTAAGCAACCACCAAAAATCAAGATTTGAATTGATAAGCTATATAGCAAAAAGCAATACTCAATCAATCCCAGAGAAAGTAACTGATGTCCTCACAACCTCACCACATATATATTGACATAAACAACCACCAAAATTAAAACATTAACATAAGATCCATAACAGTTATAATCACCTAAAGAGAGGCATGCACCCCATTTAAATATACATGATCATTTGAATATTAAATTTGGAAGATGCCATATATGTCACACTCTCTGTAACATCCATTTACTTTCTTTGGATCCATAAATGCAATGATAAAGATTTGAATTGATAATCATGTGTGAATATGATAATAATAAATTATTTAAAGAATAATTTGTTAAGGGGTAATTTTGTTAGAAAAATTGCTTCGGAAAATCACTTAAATGGACCTAAGTTAAAAACACCACATTGGGATAATTGAGAGAGGTTTTTTGCCAAAAATATTGAGTTTTTTTGCAACTAGGTGCCAATGGGTTTTTTTTGGCAATTCGCCCTAATTATTATTATTATTTTAATGAGATTTTTGTATTTATGTAGCATTTAAAACAATTGGTGCTCAAATGGGTGATGTAATAACTGCGTTTGGTGTGCAAGAATGGAATGTCCATTCCAATCATTCATTTGTTTGGTGTGCAAGAATGGAATGAAAATCCATTCCATTACTAAACCTATGGATTAGCCATTCTATTCCATTCCATAGTAAAATTAAATATTCCCAACAAGTCCTTTATCACAGACAAAAAAAATCTTTCACATTCCATTTTTCACGTTTATCAGAGTTTCTTTATTAGACGTGGTAAAGGTCTTTCACCATCCCTCTCTTCTGAATATATCCAGGACTGCGACAAAGTTGCAGAACCTTTTTTATATATATTATTGAGATTAATATATCATTAAATATATATATATATATATAAATTTTTTTAGCCTTTACATCACCTTTTTAGGTTAAGTATTCAACCCGTTTTTAGATAAAATTATACTGACAAATTTATTTGTGTGTCTTCAATCATGGTGGATTGGTTTAGTTGTAAAATTTGAATCTGTCTAAGATTTAAAGCCAATTCTAGAACAATATTGTGACCAAGGGGTGGGAAGTGGCTATGGTTTTGTGCTTGCGTCTTTTGGGAATTTAAATGTTTTTCCTTTTGCAGTCATTTATTAAGATTAATATCTTATTAAAAATAATATTTTATTTTATTTTAAGGTTTTTTATTATTATTTTATTTTTTTCTATGGCTGAGAATATTAATTAAATTGGTTTTATTAAAAAGTAATGCAAGCCAATGAAAAAGGTATTTTTGAAAAAAATCATTCTAGTATCATTCAATTTCACAACGATTCATCGTGTCACACCAAACAATGGAATGAGAGTACTCATTTCATTCCATTCTATTCCTGCACACGAAATTATTCCTTGAAATTAAACATGAAAAATAAATGGAGCAATCAATTATATACGAATCTAATTATGAATGGGAAAATATCTGGGTCCTCTCTTAGAAGATTGAAGTTCATCCTCCCAGCTCACGTGTCCCAATACAATTTAGGCACATGTCCAAAATTTTAAATTAATAATGGTCCATATCTAATTTTTTACTGGTTAAATAGAAACCCATTTTTTTTTTCCTTTCCCAATTTAATTTTTTTTAGAATCCCTCTATTAGGGCGACTTTCTTCTCTCTCCCTCTCTCCCTCCAAATCTCCGTATCCAACCTCCATCTAAATACAAACCAACCAAAGCTCATAAGTGACACAAAATTGTACCAATCAAAATTTGTAGTATTCACAAAATTCTAATATTTATTTTCATATTTTCCACCCATGAGAATTGAGAGAAGGAAAAAAAAAAAAATTACCAAATATGGAAAACATAGATCTAACGTTGACAAAAAATAGACCTACTAGAAAAACTCTATTCATACTGGTTAACATCAAATTTCCATATAATATTTTAATATCCTATTCCGTTTTACTAATATGGTAACCTATATGACAGACAATGCTCAAAGTAAGAGAGCAATTGTTGTCGCGGGTTATTTTTGAGTCTGATACTAAACAGGTGGTGGACATAGTTAATGGGACTCAGGTATGTCCAATAGCTTTGATGCAGTTGCTTGAGGATGTCCAGATGTGGTTAAAACATTCAAATGGGTTTGCTATTAAGTTTGTTCCCAGGGACGCCAATACTGCCGCCCGTAATCTAGCAAAGTATGTGATGTCTAGGAAGGTTGATGCTGAATTTTCTAATTTTTTTCCTCCTGTTTTGATGGATGCTGTAGAGCAGCAGTATATTTGACTTGCCTTAAAAAAAAAAAAAAAAAAAAAAAAAACTATATGAATACGAGGTTTTCATACATATACGAATATATGTTTTTTTATTAGGTACATTCTCAATGAATTTATTAATTTTCTAATTTCATATGAAGGTTGGGTATAAAAATAATGGTGATTGTTTTGGAAAGAAAAATATATATATTTATATATTGGGTTTCAATTTAACTATAAGAAAATGGATAATGACTATTTTAAAAAAAATTAAAATATTTGTTCAAATTATATTGGACGACATCATCTGAAAGGATGAACTTGATTCTCTCCTAATAGAGTAACCCAAAATTGTCCCCATGAATAATTCACTTAAATTATAAGAATAATAGATATATTAGATCATCAATTGTTCTTATATTATATTACATATTATTGATCGCTACAATTGCATTAAGTGTTTGGTTTTTATTTTTTATAAGACAAAAACCATAAAGTATATATATATATATATTATTTTTTTTTAAACACGGAAACAGAGACCAAAGCCCCAAAACAAGCATCAGAAAAGAGAGCCTTCCCAACATTTTAGAGGAATAGACACCCACACAGTAACCAAACCTACAGAAAAAGGAGCAACTTTGCTCGCCTCGTGAGCTGCCTTGTTACATGAACGAGGAACCCACTGTAACTGGATCGAAGGCGTCTGGTTGATGAAGACATCAATGTCATCAAGGATTGTGACCAGAGCTTCTTCAGATTTGCAAGACCTTAGAACAGGTTGGCAGTCTCCTTCAATCAACACATGAGAAAGATTCCTGAGAGGCCACCGGAGCCGATCGAAGCACCAAACCCTCAGCCACCAAAGCTGATGATACACCCATAAAAGACACAGAAGCAATTCTCTGAAGCTTGCCTTCATGATCCCTCAGAATCCAAGCTCCTTTGCACGCTCCATATGTCTGGTGGAAAGATGCATCAAAATTTAATTTTACGAAGCCCTCCGCCGGAGGCTGCCAATGATGCCGAGGACACGGATTCGAGATATGAGTCAGCTTTAGGAGACTTTGTTGATGCCGGACTTTAGAAAATTCAAAATAATCTTGGATTTGCTTCGTCCACAATAATGTGGGGAGGCAATCTCTTGGCATTGAATTCCACATCATTTTGGTTCTTCCATAAGTGCCAACAGATAATTGAAGCCAGCCCCGCACACTCCATTTAACAATCATTTTCCTTCCAAAGTTCAACAAGTTGAATCCACCGTTGGGGCCAACTCATATCATCTGACTATGAGAATTCAATCTGAGAGGACAAAGCTTCCACACCATTTGAGAAAAATGAACAAGTGCACAGCAAATGAGAAACTGATTAAGCTGCTAGCCCACAACCTTTACTCAAACCTTGCTCCTTCACCTTCCTCCTCTTTAAATTCACATTTACAGCAATCTACTCATGTAAGCTTTGCCAAAGGAAAAATTGAACTTTCCTCGGGAAATGAATCTTCCACATGTCTTTCCACCGTTGGTGCAATAAATGGGAATAACTGCACTCCGCACTAAGGGAAGAAACAAGCGGAGGTTTGAGCGAGGACAGAACAAGAAAATAAGCACTTTTTTCGCTAAATTTCCCCGAAATAGTCGTACCCCAAAAATTGGAATCCTCCCTTCCAGATAAACTAAGAGGGATTTGCAAAATCCGTTTTTGATCTTGGGCATCAAAAACGCAATTGATTACATCTGCCATCCATAATTTGCTATCCGAATCAATTAAATCACTCACCGGTAAAATGTCATCGGTGCGAGGACGAGTGGAAACTCTAAAATTTGAATTGCTCAAGAGGCACGGATCATCCCAACAAAAAACTCTTTTCCCATTGCCGATTCTCCATTTAAGCCCTTTATCAATAACACTTTTAACATGAGAGAGACTCTTCCATATGAACGAGGACCCCTTCTTATTTATTGAACTGAGGAACGTGTTATGGCCGAAATACCTTTGTTTCAAAATTCTACGTAACATAGAATTTTCTCAGATTTTAAAACGCTAAGCTATCTTAAAAAGAAGGGTCAAATTAAAAGCTTCAAAGATCCCGAAAGCCTAATCCACCATCATGCTTGTGTCCACACATTTGGAAATGGTTAACATAAAGAATGTGTTATGCTCCCAAATTAGACATCGAAATTGATCTTTCCAAACTTAACTATGATGCGTCCATATGATATCCATCACCACACTGTTTTAACACAGGATAAATATATTTATTATATAATATTAATTATAATAAAACATCATAATTATAATTTCCAATTCGCGCCCTCTCTTTAATCTGAACCACTGCTGCCGTCGACGTTACCCATAGCAGACACCGGGAAAGCAAAGCTTGGTCACCGAACAACCATAGTTACTACGCGTGCAGATTAATCATCTCAAACTTCGGCAAGTGGATTAAATCTCAAATCAAGGTTAGTATTAGAAAACTTCTCATTATTAAGCTTGCGATTTTTTTGCTTTTGGGGTTATTTTTACGATATTTGTGTGTTTTATAACTCCAGAATCATTGTTCATTTGTTTTTATATGGTTGATTTCCATTCAACAATCATCTATACATTGTGTGTATATATATTTTCCTATATATGGGTATAGGTCGTCTTCCGGTTTCGAATTTTGGGGCTTCGTTTTACCTAATCTCTGGTTTAATTTTGGTTGCATTAATCACTGTTTGATGGCCAAGCATGATTGTAATTGATTAGAAACAAGTTTGATTCGGATTGATCAGATTGACACACGATTATTACATGAACACAATGGAAGTTAAATTAAACCCACTAACTTTGTCTTGGATACCAATAGAGTGGGTCGTATCCAATTTTGCCAATAGACAATAGACAAAATCAGTCTATTTTCTTGCTCATCTATGCTTCATCGCTGAGTTTCACCTCTCTTTCTCAGGGTAGTTCACATTTAATCTTTCTTACTTTTTCGTCTTTCTAGTTCGATCTTGCAATTTCCTACAAATAATCCAGTTGCTTTTTGATTTTCATTCTACAAGGAAGTAGGAACCATGTTCATGCACCGTTTGGTTGCTGAGAAAATGGACGAATATAATAGAAAATGAAACTCTATTATCTTATTCAAGATATCCATGGGTATGAATTATTTTTACCCAGAATTGTTCGGACACAAATATTCACTTGATGTCATATTTTGCAGTCTCTTCCATCGCTCTGACATTTTGTCAATTGGCGAAGAATTGCGGGCTTAGGCTTTTTTTTCTTTTCTATTCAGCAATGGACTCTACTGGGAATTCATTCAATCCTAACAAGCTTTTGAAAGAACAGTTAAGATTTCTTCGATTTCCCTTCCTCACTTTACATACGTTTTGTCACATATATAATCACTATATCTATCTATCTCATTTTCTTTTTTGATATATCTCGTAGATTTGTGAGCAACTTAACAGGATCTTCCATGCTTGAAATATGTGCGCTTTTGACTGTATTACCTGTGAGTTAGTGCCTTAGTTTTATTTCTTCTTTTTGGAATCTACTGTCTACCAATTGTTTCTTGAAACTCTCACCATTTTGTGCTTCTGAATTTTGGTATTTTTTTAATAGGTTCTGATACTTCTGGGACAATCGTTCAGCTTCAACTGCAGAATTGGTATGACACCTTTATGAACTAATATTTGTTTGGTTCCATGTTAAGGAAGCAAGGGGTGGGTGGTTGTGGGGTGGGCTTGGTTCCATATTTGTTTCTGTTTGATGTGGTGTTTGAGTGAAAATGATGTCGCGTGTAGCTGAAAACCAGTCACTTGGACACTAAATTTCTTGAATTTAGAGTATTATTGCAAGTTAGATGATTCTTTCAAGATCTTTTTGGAGAAATGAATATTTATAACTAGCATGTACATAGGTTGTGCCCCTGTGTTTTAAAGTCTTAAGTGGGTATATATATCCTTACAAAAAAGTTACTCATTATATTAGCTTAAACTTTTAGAGGTGTTGTTTGTTTACAATTGTAAGAAGAAAAAGAAGAAGGGGTTGGTCTATCTATTTGTTGTGGAAATAACTATTCTCAATGATTTTAATTGGCACGAGGTTCAAATGAAACCAATATTCTATTTCTTTGATCTACTTGTTGTCATAGGAATGATATGATTGATTAAAGCTTGCTTGAACTACAAGTTGGAGTCATAAATAGACAAATAGCTACTTTTGCCTTTTGTCATGAAGAGGTGAATCATATTATTTGAGGACGAGCCCTTGTTCAGAGTAGGATAAGAAATTTTGTGTTGATATTGGGATTATGTTTCTTAGAATATAGAGGCTGTTACTACTTTTTACTTCTTCTACACATACTTTGACTAGGTGTCCATTTCAGTCATATAATTTTGTAGATCCATGTTAGAGTTTATTTATTTATTTTTCTGTTGTATTTTCATTACTTACAGATGAATTAGTTTAAATAGTTGAATACCTGAAATTTGACTTCTATTTATCCTACATCAATTGGGGATTTGAAGAGTCAAAGCTAGTAGGGAAGTATTCTCCACGGTCCACACTTATCCTATATAAAATCTCCACAATACTTACAACCAAACTAAGGTACCATTGATAAGTGTGGAGAATACTTTCCTTCTAGCTTTGACTGAATTTATGGTCGGCTTTGCCGCTCTGGTGAAGTAGAATTTGTAGGTGTAGGGCTTCAATGTGTGGTGAGAACTTGTAGTCCTTATGGTTGGAAAGGTGGTGAAGTTTTATAGGTTTTACCGGTATTGCTTTTGAAAAACTAAAAAAAGCACCATCAATTTTCAGAAAGCCCATGGTAGTGAACTTAGAATATAATATGGAGGGTTTAGAATAGAACAGAGTCACAAAGTGTTATATTTACTTGATAAAAGACATGTATGATGGAAGTGTGACCTATAAACGACTGTAGGGTTTAAATGAATATCCAATTACTATAGTTTTGCATCAAGCCCATTTTCTTTTTTGTCTTTGTTTTGGGTGAACTGACTAGACACATTAATGACGAGATTTTATGATGATACTGTATTTTTAATGAAACTAGAGAAGGGTTAAGTGTTTAAGATAGGTAAGAATAAAATTGAAAAAATAAAATTCAACTTTAGTAGATCTAGACATATAAGTAGGGCTGTAGTGAAGATTGAGGGTTAAGAGATACCAAGAAGTGAACATTTCTGGTTTTTATGCTCAATTATTCACAACGAAGGAAACTCCATTTTATGGCTGGTCCAAGCCTAGAAAAAGGAGGATTGCATTAGATAGCTTGATGGTTAGCGTAAAACTTTTGCCAGGACTAATGTGAATATGAATTGTAAGAATATATAAATAAATGATAGGGCATTTTTCTTAAGCAATGCGTTGCATTAGCTTTGGAACGCCAAGGGGTGCCCGGTGCCGCATTGGTCTTGGATGCAGTGTAAAGCAGGTAAGAGTTCCTGTATTTTTTTAGAATGAGTTGCGGGTAAAAAAGTGAGCCCAGGAACCTAGATTTAAGACTTGAAATATAGGAACATTTATGGGTTGGGAAATGAAATTGGTGAACGTTATGGTTAGGAGGGTAATTTAGTTTAATCTTATGAAATATTTGATGAAATTCATAAATTTATGGTTCACTACATACATTATCTGCAAGTAATGCTTGATTCTGATTATATATGTTTAAATATGTAATATTATTACACATACGCCTTACTTTGATCAGGCTCGCTCCTTTTATTGCGCCTTGCGCTTGGGCTCCAGAAGGCCTTTTGTGCTTTGAGCCTTTAACAACTGTGGCCTGGACAGATTAAGCTAGTACAAGTATCATTATATTAATTGTTAGATTCTTGCTTGTACGAGTAAAATTATATGCCAAAATCTAATTCCTTGGTTCTTGGTCAGTCTCAATATTTTTTGTTGAGCTGGTTCTATTTTTTTGTTTTTCTTAAAGTAAGATTTCATTGAAGAGCGCTAAAAATGAGAGCGCAACCCAAATACAACTGCTCAAGCTAAGAATCTGTAACCTCAAGCTATCCATAAAAGACAAAAGACCTTCATGGATTTTCAATTCCTCATAAAGAACTAAGTACAGAGAATTTAAACACCCTGACAGGAGATTCCTCCCCATTACAGGATCTCCTATTTCTATCCCTCCACAAGGCCCACCAAAAGCAAAGGGGAACAACCCTCTAAGAATCCCTAGCTTGGGACCCTGCCAAACATCCTCTCCAAGCTTTGGTCAAGCTCTTTGTGGACTTCGGCATGACTCAATGAACCCCAAAAATAGCACAAGACATGGCCCATTTGTCCCTAGCCATAGAACAATGTAAGAGAAGATGATTCATCTACTTCTCATCCTTCTTACACATATAACACAAATTGATGAGGATCTGGCACCTCTTCCTCGGGTTTTCAGTCGTCAAGAGCCTCGGGTTTTCAGACGGACCCTCTTCCTCTGGAGAGGGTCCGTCTCTGGTGGGAGGGGTATGGTGTGGTTGGCACCCTTAGTCATGTGCTAGCAGGCAGATTGCGTCTCTTAAAGGAAAATCTTAAGACTTGGAATAAAGAGGTTTTTGGGAATCTTGAATGGAGGAAAAATCGGGTTCTTGCTGAAATAACGTCTATTGACCGGATGGAGGGTCAAGGGGATTTGGTGGAATCTTTGAAGGCTAGGAGGGCGGAGTGCAAGGCGGAGTTTATGGAGATTGCTATCATGGAGGAGATCTCGTGGAGGCAAAAACCCCGAGCCTTGTGGCTTAAGGAGGGGGATAGAAACACAAAATTTTTCCATAGATTGGCCAATGCTCATAGAAGAGGCAATCATATAGGGAGGATTCCAGTTGAGGGGGTTATTTTTTGTAAGGAGGAGGAGATTTACAAAGGATTTTCAGAGTTTTTTGAGAATTTGTTCACGGAGTCTGTTGAGTGGAGACCTTTGCTCGAAGGGTTGCAGTTTGACTCCATTTCTGAGAAGGAGTGCTTGGGCTTGGAGTTGCCTTTTTCTGAGGAGGAAGTTCTGATTGCTTTGAAGAGCTACAATGGGGATAAGGCCCCAGGTCCAGATGGTTTTACCATGACATTTCTTCTTGAGTGTTGGGAGGTGGTTAAAGGGGCGGTGATGGGCACTTTCCATGCTTTCCATTCTCGGGGATCTTTTGAGAAAAGCTTGAATGCCACGTTCATTGCTCTCATTCCGAAAAAAGGAGGGGCGTTGGATGTTAGGGATTTTCGCCCTATTAGTTTGGTGGGTTGCATCTACAAGTTGATTGCCAAGGTGCTTGCTTCAAGATCGAGGAAAGTTTTGGATGGCATCATTTCGGACTCTCAAAACGCTTTTATAGCAGGCCGTCAGATTTTGGATTCAGTCCTTATTGCGAGTGAGTGTGTGGACTCCAGATTGTGTAGTGGGGTCCCGGGGACATTGAGAAGGCGTATGACCATGTGAGTTGGAGCTTTCTTCTGTACCTGATGAAGTAGATGGAGGAGATGGATTCATTTTTGTATTTCCAGTGCTTGCTTTTCGATCCTTGTTAATGGTGCTCCTACTGGTTTTTTCTCTAGTTCAAGGGATTTGAGACAGGGAGATCCTCTCTCCCCCTTCTTGTTCTTGTTTGTGATGGAGGCCCTTAGTAGATTGATGAGAAGGGCCACCGAGTTGGGTCTTTTGAGAGGCTTCCGGGTGGGTAGGGATGCTGTTTCTCAGTTGGAAATCTCTCATTTGATGTTTGCTGATGACACCTTAGTTCTTTGTGATGCGAATGTGTCCCAGATTAGATATTTGAGATGTGTTTTGATTTGGTTCCAAGTTGTCTCCGGCCTTAAGGTGAATGTGGGCAAAAGTGTTTTGGTGCCGGTTGGGGAGGTCCCTGAGATTGAGACTTTTGCTGACATTCTTGGTTGTCGTACTGGTTCTTTTCCCATTTCTTACTTAGGCTTGCCTTTGGGTGCTCCTTCGAGGTGTGTGGGGATTTGGGATCCAGTTGTGGGTAGATTTGAGAGAAGGTTGGCGGGTTGGAAGAAGCAGTATCTCTCCAAAGGCGGCAGGGTCACTCTGATTAAGAGCACCCTCTCTTGTCTTCCCACTTATTTTATCTCTCTTTTTCAGATTCCCTCCTCAGTTGCGGAGGGGATTGAGAGGTTGTAGCGTAATTTTCTGTGGGGGGGTAGAGGTGAAGAGTTTAAGTTTCATTTGGTGAGATGGGATCAAGTTTGCAGACCAATTCGGAATGGTAGGTTGGGTCTCAGTAAATTGGTGCCTTTTAATAAGGCCCTCCTTGGGAAATGGTTGTGGAGGTTTGGGGTGGAGAGACATTGGCTGTGGAGGAGGGTTGTGGCATGTCACTTTGGGGAAATGAGAGGAGGGTGGAGTTCATTGGAAGTTAGAGATCCTCGGGGGGTAGGGGCCTGGAAATTTATTCGGAAGGGTTGGGATGACTTTTCCAAGCACATTCGGTTTCGTCTTAGAGATGGGAGGAGGATTTGCTTTTGGGAGGATGTGTGGTGTGGAGATGTTCCTCTTGCTCTCGCCTTTCCTTACAGGATTGCTTCGGATAGGCAGGCCATGGTGGTTAATTGTTATCATCTTGATAATGGGAGACTGGTTTGGGATGTTCGATTCAGGCGTTCCTTTTAGGATTGAGAGATCGAGGAGGCCATCCGTTTCTTGGAGTTGTTGTATCGCTAGAGGATTGTGGAGGAGGATTCGGATTGTGGGTGGTTGCAAATTCTCAAGGGCGTTTCGAGGTGAGGTCTTTCTTCAGGTGCCTCTCTTTAGTTCCTGGAGTTCGTTTTCCTTGGAAGTCTGTTTGGCGTTCCAAGGCTCCTCTCAAGGTGGCTTTCTTTGTGTGGACTTCGGTTCTGGGTAGGATTTTAACCCAAGATAATTTGAGAAGGAGAAGCCAGGTGGTGGTCAATCGTTGTTTTATGTGTCTTAGTGATGAGGAATCGGTGGATCACCTTCTCATTCATTGCTCTTTGGCTAGAGAGTGTTGGGATTTGATGCGTGGCTTATTTGGTTTTTCTTGGGTTATGCCAGGATCTGCTAGAGGGTTGATTGAGGCGTGGAGAGGTTGCCCTATGGGGGCTCTCAGTCAGGATGCGTGGAGGGCTACGCCGCTTTGTGTGTGGTGGTGTATTTGGCTTGAAAGGAATATGAGATTTTTTGAAGGAAAGGCATTGTCGATTTCGGTGCTTAAATTCTCGATTATTTCCACTCTTTTTTGTTGGGTTTCAGGGAGAGATCATAGATCGTTGGAGGAAATTGTTGACTTTTTGGCCTCTTTGAAGGCTTGTGGCCTTTGTGGTCTTTTGTATTTTCTTGGGTTCCGCTCCCCTTCTGAGCATTTTTTATAAAATGTTTTATTTATCAAAAAAAGAAAAGAAAAAAGAGCCCCTGCAAGGTTGTCGGCCAAACAAAAAAAGCCACCTTTAAGGGGGTGAGGTATTGTCCTTCTCAGATTTTGGAGGTTCAGTGGTCATCCTTCCATGGCTAGAACCCGTTCAATACCACTCCTCCATGCACTCCCCAGTCACATTCTAATGATATAGTAGAGCTAGAAACTCGAGTATACCCTCCAACTCCCAATCTTGCAGAAACCTCTCGAACTTTAAGTCTCCCTATTCTTCTTCCTGATGCTTGGAGTATTCATCCCAACCTTTCCGGATGAACTTTCTTGAGCCCACCCCTGTCGGAAGTCTCACCTCTAAAGAGCACCATCCACCTCTAGATTCCCTGAACTTGCAACTGAGAACCCTCCTTCTCAAACTGTGCCCCACCCCCCCACCAAAAAAAAAAAAAAAAAAAAAAAAATCAAAATCTCCACAACCACTTGCTTAACAAAACTACCCTACCCGAAGAGGTCTGTTCCCAGCCCACAAGAAGGTACTTGAACTCATCCCCGATGCCACCCACAAGAAATTCCTTTGCAGCTTTCAAATCCTCTTCGCCACAGAGGAAGGAATCAGGAATAGAGACATAATATAAGTAGGAAGACTTGAGAGGGTGATCTTCAACAGAGTTAGTCATTCTCCTTTTGATAGATATTGTTTCTTCCAACCTGCAAGTCTCTTCTCAAACCATTCCGCCACTGGACACCATGAAGATACTCTCCTCAACGGCTCGCCCAAGGGGAGTCCCAAATAAACCACTGTAAATGCCCCAACAACATAACCAAAATGCCGCGGAAGGATACCATCTTACCGATCTCCCCTACCAGCACAATCTCACTCTTCCCAAGGTTAATTATCAACCATGAGACAACTTGGAAACACGCCAAAACACACCTCAGGTATCTCATCTGGGGCCTCGTCCATATCACAGGAGACAATTGTATCATTGAAGCAAATCTATCGTGTCTTTTTTACCATTTTATTTCACCTAAGCTTGCATTGTAGTTGGTCACAACTAGCATGCAGTGACTTGGCTGTTCTACTTTCTGAATTGGGCAAGCAATTATGGGTGATGTGTTTTTTTTTTTAATGCAGATCCTACTACCACTGAGACCTCGTTGAAGAAAAATGATAATGCAGTTGTTGGTTTAAAGAATTGGAGGCTTTATGCTGCGACAATCACTGTGGATTTTCTCTCCCTTTTGCTTCCTTTCCTTTTATGTATCACTGTAAGTGTTCTCACTTTGCTTTTCTGAACTTTAGCTAAAGGACTGAGGATCTCAGCATACATTGTTTAATTGAAGTTAGTTTTTGATCAAAGATTTGTATATATTGTTATTCACATCCTCCATCATGCTTGTAAGCTTCTTTTAGTTGTTACAGTCAATGCGTTTGATCATATATGGGGAAAGTGTTGACATGAAGCTTCCTTTGAGATGTATCTGGTGCATAATTGGAAAACTTTGGGCGATATTATCATTCTAAGCATTCATATAATTATATAATAATGGCTGAGAGAAGATAGATAATTTATGTCTCTAGTTTTTGGCAGTATAGCTTAACTGGATTCGATATTCTATTTAAATTATCTTCACGGGCAAATGCCTCAAGTTTTCTCTATTTTTTTATTTTGTAATAATAACACTTGCTATTATTGATGAGAATACTTGTTCAATGACAGGTTCTGGCAGAATGGATTTATGCATGTGCAATTTTGTTGATGTTGCTGCTTGGTTTCTTTATTGCATCTAGAAGGTAAGAGTCACTAGTCATGACTCTGCTTTTTTCATACTTAATTCTTTCTATCATTCTATTGCTTAATGCTTTTCTTTTTTGTACGATTTACCGAAAAGGCTATAGGGTATTGCACAAGTAGCTGAACATATGACTGAGTACCTTTTTGTATATTGTCTCAAATTTGTTCATCTATTGTGCAGATATGGATATTCTTCTAATGCGGATGATGGGGTCTGCTCTCTTAGGACAATTATTTCATCGTACAGGGTTGCTGTAGTATGCATCCACGTTACAGATTCAAAGTCCATTTTGGTTGATACTTATTGTTGCTAAACTCTATTTTCATCTATTTGTATCTTTTATCTTACAAGGATGATTGCTGCAGATGACTATCACATGCTTGTGTATATTGGCTGTTGACTTCAAAATATTTCCTAGAAGATATGCTAAAACTGAGACTTATGGTACAAGTTTGGTAAGTTCCCTTAAGCTGAATCAGTCCTTATCCATGTAGCTTATTTTATTTATGCATTTGTTTATCTTGTGCATCTTACATTGCTTCCATAACTGTTTAATTTTTTTTTTTTACCCTAGTTTAATTCAGGGTGCTAATCTAAAATTTAGCACTACAATGGAATGGAAATAATAAGAAATACGTTCAACATTAGCTTTGGATCCTACATTTTGCAGTAGAGGATGGGTGCCAGTGGTTTATGAATTACAAGTCATCTTCCATTTCATTTTACTATTATTTATTATGAGAAATCATCAAGGATCGTATTTAAAATTAAACTCTTTTCATCATCCATTTGTTTGGTAAGTAGGTGGTTCCTAACCAAAGGATTTAGTCTATAAGGAGGAAGCGTTTGTTGCCACTGGCTATTGATGACTTTTTTTTATTGGTGCATTGTTATATTATGTTAGTACAATACAATCTTCTATAATCAGGATTTGGGGACCTATATTGGTAATGGGGATGAGGAACTGGCTTTCTAAACAGCTCATCTATTATTTTCCCAATTTTATTTGGATTTTGATGTTTGGATGGAATAATTTTACTTGTAGAGGTACAGAGTTACCTTCTTAATTCTTATTTGATACTACAAATCAGTGATTTTTCTACGTTTTCTTTGTGCACTCCAAGTGAGATCTTCTTTCACTTGCCAGGAAATTTTCTTCCTCTGTTCTGATCATGGAGTAGATAAAATAAATCATAAAATGGATTTGTTCAAGAATGAAATATTATTGGAACTGTCCATATCACTCCAGATGAGACCTTAATCCCGAATCTAATTTATTTGTGTCTTCGGTGATTTGGAGATACTCCTAAGGGCATCTTTTTTTATGCTTCTGGAGAATTTGTTGGATTCTTTCTCAGAACATGTTGATGATATATACAAAATCATTTCAGTTTAAAGGGTCAATCCTTAGTGTGATTCCTGCTAATCGAGGATGTTAGGAGGGGTGGGCTGGATAGAGACCTAATCTTTGGCATTATTGGGCATAAGTGGCTGCTCTCAGGCTTTTAACTTGCGTTCTCATGCTTGACAGCCCAGAGACTTTACCAGTGCACTAAACAATGACCCCTATCTAATGAAAATAAGCATAGATCCATTTTAATGGACGGGTACTGGATGTTACATGGATATGCGTGTGGGGAACATGTGCGATTCTAGTTATCAAAAAATTTTGATCTAAAATCTAAGGACACAGAATATGGCCAATTTACGATAGTGTATTTCATTTCATTAATAACTTAAAAAAGTTAGAATGGATTTTGAATGTATTTGATGAAAATGTGTTAAATAATATTTGTTCCTTTATTCCTTTGTTGGGTCATCTGGTTGTAGAAGGTATTTTAGGACAGTAGTGAAGAGTTTTTTGAGAACTGATTATATTCAATTAATTATGGGTAAAGGGTGGTAAAATTATTCAGGGTATGTAAAGGTGCTGCAGATGGTTAGGGTTTTGGATTATAATAAAATAATAGTAGGCCGAATGATCTTGGGGCTGTTCAGGACTGTGACAATACTTGGTGGATGCTTGTGTTTTCTTTCTTTTGTGGGCTAGATTGGTTGCTTGGTGAAGAGTAGGGTAAGGGCTTGGTTGATGAGAATTTTAAGTTAGTAACAGGTAAGAAAAAGTGAAGTAGGAAAAGAATATAGGAATCACTTTAAGGTTCCCTTGGGCATCATACGTAGGGTTTGTAGTATGTATTGCAATACACAAAAAGAATAATTGTTGAAAATTCTCAAACGTTACCAACAGGTTAGTGGCCTTGCAGTATCAGGCCCTTACTTCCCAAAGGGAGGGCAGGGGTTCGAGCCTCAGTGGAGGCATGTGTGTGTGAGTGCCAACGAAGAAAAAAAAAAAAAAAAATCTCAAACGTTTGATCTTTTTTTTTTTTTTTTTTTTTTGATAAGTAAAAATATATTAGAAAAACGTTGAAAAGGAGAACAAGTCCGTAATACAAGAAGAAAAAAGACCTAAGGACTAATAGCATCCAAAAGATCAAAGAAATCATCAATCGAGGAGCATGCGCTTCCTCTTACATAATAGAACAGAGAATGCAGAATATGAATTTTCAGATTAGCTAAAGATGATTCTTTTCCTTCAAAGGTTCTGTTATTCCTCTCACGCCATAGACACCACCAAACACAATGTAGAACAATCCTCCAATAATCAGGAGCATGTTCTTTAACAAGACATCTTCTCCAAGCGTTGATCAACGTGCTTAGGCATTACCCAAAAAACGCCAAGCATGCAAAAAATAAAACTCCAACAATCATACGCCACAGGATAATGCAAAAGAATATGATCCACAGATTCACTATATGCTTTACATAAACAACACCAATAGACAATGATGTTGCCTCTCTTTCTCAAGTTGTCCAATGTCAACATCTTTCCCAATGTGGCAGTCTAAACGAAGAATGCGATTCTAAGAGGAGCTTTAGAACACCAAACAGACTTCCATGGGAAATCGTGACCATCGAAGTTGGACAAACACAAGAACATGGATCGGACACCATACCTACCATGAGCTAAAGGAACCCACAAAATATCATCACACCCTCTGCCAACATCCTTCTGCCTATACAACGTATCCAAAAAAAACACAAGCTTCCTCCATTTCCTAGTCCTGAAATGGGCGCCTATAACACACTTCTCACGTAACTTCATTGTTATCAAGTTGATAACAATCAATTACGTAGGCATGCTTATTGTCTGCAATACTGTAAAGTCTAGGAAAGGAGTGAGACAACAGTTGATCTCCGCACCAAAGGTCCTCCCAAAAATGAACATGTCTACCATCACAAACTTTGAATCTAATGTGTGAGGAGAAAACATCCCAGCCTTTCCGAATGAATTTCCACACACCAACTCCTCCCGTAATAGTGACTGGGAGAGAGGTCCAGCCCCCACTTTCCTCACCAAAGCGACACGAGACAACTCTTCTCCTTTGGCGATGGCATTCCTTTCCAATTCTCCATAATCACTTTCCCAAGAGAGCACGATTAAAAGGGACCAGTTTTCGAATGCCTAACCCGCCTAATCTCAGCGGTTGACAGACTTGTTCCCAAGTAACGAGATGATACTTAAACTCCTCTCCCCTTCCACCCCATAGAAAATCCCTCTGAATTTTTTCAATCCTTTCAGCAACAGACCATGGAATTTGAAACAAAGATAAAAAGTAGGTAGGAAGGGACGAGAGAGTACTCTTAATGAGTGTGACTTTCTCCCTCTTAGATAGATACTGTTTTTTTCCATCCTGCTAATCTATTCTCTTATCTATTAATCACTGGTCCCAATTCTCTACTCGCGTAGAAGAAACTCCCAAAGGCAATCCTAAGTAAGGAAGAGGAAAAACACCCACTCCATACCCCAGGACAGCAGTTAAGGAGGAAATATCTGGAACACCCCCCATTGGAACAAGCACACTCTTTCCAACATTAATCTTTAGCCTAGAAACCGCTTGGAAGCAAGCAAGAATGCACCCTAGATATCTGAGTTGAGAGACTTCGGCATCACAAAAAACCAAAGTATCATCCGTGAACAACAAATGAGAGATCTGCATTTGATGTTCAACATCTCTTCCAACTCTGAACCCCCTGATGTAACCCAAATCCTCCGCTTTTCTCATTAATCTGCTCAGCCCTTCCATGACAATAAGGAAAAGAAAAGACAATAATGGGTCTCCTTGTCTCAGACCACGCGAGCTTGAAAAAAAACCCGCAGGGGAACCATTCACGAGCACAAAGAACATAACTGACGAGATACAAGTTTCAATCCATTTTATCCACCTGTCTCCAAACCCCATCCTCCGAAGAAGATATAGAACAAACTTCCAATTAACGTGATCATAGGCTTTCTCAATATCAAGCTTGCATAAAACGCCAGGAACCCCACTTTTAAATCTAGAGTCAACACATTCCCCTGCGATAAGAATAGAATCCAAAATCTGGCATCCACCAACAAAAGCATTCTAAGATTCTGAAATAAGACCATCCAAAACATTACTCATCTTGGAGACAAGAACCTTGGCAATAAGCTTATACAAACTTTTATTAAGCTAATTGGCCGAAAGTCTTTAATATTAGAGGCATCGCACTTCTTGGGAATGAGAGCAATAACCAGTGATTTCTCAAATGTGCCATGAGAATAAAAATCCTGAAAGGTGCCCATCACCTTAGTTCGCTCCACCTCCCAACTCTCCTTAAGAAATTGCATAGTAAACCCATTTGGTCCTGGAGTTTTGTCCCCATTACAACTAGAAAGTGCCTTAAGCACTTCCTCCTCTGTGAATGGAACCTCAATCCTATCACTATCCAACGCAGAAATAAAGTTAAAAGGAAGACCATCAAGAGTAGGTCACCAACCCAAAGTCTCAGTGTAGAGCTGCTGATAAAAATAAACAATTCCCCCGCGCACCTCATCCTCTCTCTACAGCTCAGAACCATTGACCCGGATACGTCCAATGTGATTACATCTTCTGTGAGCATTGGCAAGTCTATGAAAGAATTTTGTATTATGATCCCCTTCTTTTAACCACAATGCCCAACACTTTTGGCGCCACAAAATCTCCTCCATAAGAGCAATCTCAGCAAAATTTGCCTGGCAAAAGGCTCTTTTAGAGCATAATGGCTCCCCATTTTGCCCCACCTCATCAAGACGATCGAGCTCAACAATATCAGCTAGAACTCTATTCTTTTTCCATTCAAGATTCCCAAACATTTCTTTATTACACCTCTTTAACTCAGTTTTAAAAAACTGAAACTTTCTAGCTAACACATAACTAACAGAGCCTGTAAAACTCGCTCCCTCCCACCAAGACTGAACTTTTCCTTGGAAATCCTTGGATTTTAGCCACATATTTTCAAAACGGAAAGGTGTGCGTCTAGAACTCATACCACCACAATCAAGAACTAAAGGCACATGATCAGATGTCACTCTAACCAGAACAAACCTGAGAGA